ACATTTTGTTTAATATTTATCAATGTCAATTTGAATTTGGTTTTGAACCATTTAAGTATTGTTTAATTGATAATAAAATAAATTATGGAAGTGAACAGTATTAACGGTATAAATCGCATAATAAATAAAAGTGATGATGAGTTGGTAAAACATTTATTAAAATCAAATTTTCGATGCAAGACAAGATCTTGCAGAAGAGTTTGCAAGACACGGCAGAAAAAAGGAGCAAACAATTTAAATACAGTTTTTTATTGCCAAAAATGTAGAGCTAACTATTCTCTATTTAAAAATATATATTTTGAGAACATGAAAATTTCCGTGAGAAACATAATTTTGTTGTTTTGATGCTTGGCATGTCAACTTAGGACAGTTTCTACGGCAGAAATGTTGGGAGAAACCAAAGAAAGAGTTGTACAGCAATATAGATATATACTGTTACGGTATTTAAATTCGTTATAATGGTTTTTTATAATAATTAAACTTTCGTAATTTCATAGTCAAAATCATTAATTTTATAGCATTACATTAATAACTTGTATTTATAATAATTAAACTTTCGTAATTTCATAGTCAAAATCATTAATTTTATAGCATTACATTATTAACTTGTATTTAAATTGTTAGAGTAAATAATTAAAGTCATTTAAAATTATAATATTTATTTCGTTAAATACTTATAGTCAACACAACACACTCGATGGGTCATTGTGTGTGGTCTATTATTCAGGGGTATTAGATGTTGTGTATTCAACTAAAGAGATTATTCGTAAACATTTAGCATTTGACCAGGGCTGTACTCAATTTTTGGATGGTTAATAAATTGTTAGTAAGGGGTTTAAAATTAGGGTAATTAATAATTTGGGATGTTAAACAAGGGCAGTTAAGTAAAGAAATAGTGCAAAGAATATTTCATGCTGTCAACATATATTTACAAGGGTTTTTGTAAAATTTTTAAGTAGGGCTTTCAGTAAGTGCGTCTCTGTTATTTTATAATTAGAATTAGGAACTTTAAAATTTTTGATGTTGGTACCATTGGTTTTCGTGTCTTTTTTTGTAATATCCGGCTTCTAGAATTTTATTGAGTTGACTTCATGTGTCGTTTTAGTTCACATTTCTCATGATGGTGAAATTATTATTATTATCGTGGAAGCCGTTGAAGGTGTTTGTGAACTGTGATCGAGGACGAGGACGTATCAAGCCTATTTGGCCAGAAGAGCCACTTGGGGCAACCGCATCGCGGGATTTACTGGGGCCGTCAATAAGTGGAATTTATTCCAACCTTTTAAGAAGGGATTTTCATTTTTACGAGCCTCCATTTTGGAACTCTGTTCGACGAGGACGTATTTCACGTATTACACCTACTTGGCCTGAAAAGCCAACAAGGGATTTACTGGAGCATTCCAGGAATTTTAATTCCGACCTTTTGGAAAAGGGATTTTTAAATTTGGAAGAACCATTGTTTTTAAGGCATCTCGTTTCGGCGAGGTAAGTGGTAGAAACTATTTTTTTTTTATTTGACTCTCGCTTACTATTCTTTTCTTACATCATAGATTTTTTTGGGGGAGCTTAAAGCCGCGAAGGTACTGCTTCAGTCAATCGAGCTTTTGGCCTTTCTTTTATTTTTTTGGATGACCGGCAACCGGCGTGGTTAGGGAGAGGGGAGAGAAGAGTAGCTTCCATCCCAGTTAGATGAGTAGGAGTAGGAGTTAGATGTATTTTTTTTAGATGTCCAGGAGAAGTTTAACTCCATTGGATCCCGAGGCTCACCGGTGATTTCTGCTCGACCACCATTTTGAGTTAATTTAGCTAAGTAATTATTTAATAGTCTATTTTCAAAGTTTCTTTCACTTCATGATTTTAATGGGATTAGGTTATTTTAGAGGTTTAACCACCTTGCAGTGGAACTCTATGTATTAAATTATTATTTCGGGTTTTATAAATTATGTTACCACCCATGTAAGGGTTGGTTATTAATCTTTTGTTAATTAAATAGTTTAGGTAAGGTATATGTAAGCTTCAAGCAATTGCTTAAGGTAACCAAGATTTGTTCAATGAATTATTCATTGAGTATAATTAAATATTAAGTCTTAAACATTTTCTATGCTGAATCCAACAATTCACATGTAAGTTAGTTATAATTAAAAAAGTAAGTGTTAAACATTTTCTATGCTGAATTCAACAATTCACAAGTAGTATAGTTGTAAAAAAAAAGTAAGCTTTAAAATATTGTCTATGCCGAATCAAATGATTCACATGTAATTTAATTAAAGTACAAAAGGAGAAAATACATCTAACCCCCCTGGAATCTATTGTTTCATTTTCTTAAAATTAATTATAAGTCTTTCCACATAGGTGATAAAGAAATAAATTCATTAGAGCTACCTGTCGAACAGAATTGACCGGTCGCTCGAGTTCCAGAGAATCACACGAAGAAATTTGGGGCTAAGCCATTGTCATACCATCAGGTATTCGACTGTTGCTACTAAACGAGACTTCTGGTAAGACTATTCTAGTATGTTCTTTTTGCGTTGTTTTTCTGACTGTACGAAGGTTGATTCTCAAAAGTATAACTATTTAATTTAATAATAATTAACCGTTTAACTTAAATAATAAAACAATTTAAAAAAAAGTCCAAAGAAAATATTATAATTTCTTAAAGTAAATCTTTTCATTCGCTACGGCCCTTGGAGCGTAGCAATACGAGATATTATTAGTTGGAAACTGATCAATGAAAAGGATCAGTTTATTTTAGGTAATTTTTATGAGTTTATTAATATATTTATATAATGCATAAACATCTTCCTTTTCAGGGGGAATCGGACACGTTCTACAGATTGATGAATCGGTCATCACTAAACGAAAATATAACCGTGGTCGGTGTATTCTGGAAAAATGGGTTCTTGGAATTTATGACACCACACAGAAAAAAGGTTATGTTGTCTATGTAAAAAACCGAAAACAAGCAACTTTGATCTGAAATTTG